TGTGTGTGTGTGTGTGTGTGTGTGTATATATATATATATATATATATATACATACACACACAATAATATATATTTATATATATGTTATATATATATAAAAAATTTATATATATAACAGTGGCTCAGTCCCTCCATCAGTGTGAGTCTATGGAATTTTTTCTACCAGTTTTATCATCCGCCATGTAAATATCACATCGCATGATCACTTATCCAAGTTTTTAAATTCTTAAGACTTTATACTCCACTAACGAGATAAAACAGAGTTTCCCTTACCTGATTCTTGGGTCGTTTCATGTTTTTCCTTTCAGGCTCATCAGCATCTGGAGCTGCTGACTCTCTCTGTCTTTTCACACCCTTTACTATAGATGCCTCTACTTTTATGGTCTAAAATGTAATAAGAAAAAAAAATCGAAAATGAAAAGGTTAAACAACACAGAAAAGATAAAAACACAGCTGTGCACTTTTTGCGAACTTTAAACTGAGTAGGTTCCTTTTTATCACTACCTTGTTAGTCTTCCCAGCCACTCCATTCTTGATATCAGAGCTGGAAGCCCTGGTTGCCATCGCAGTGGAACTGGCTCTAGGGGACTGTCCATTAGATCGCACATCCTCGAGGGTGGGAGACATGCCCCTGTCGGGACTTCCGGTTGGTCTGTTGCGCCCACTTCGAAGAGATGACATCTACATGTAGAGACACAGGAAGACTAAATTAAAGGGTCGTGAAACCCCAGACTACTTTTTCTGAGATTTTAGCAGAGGTGTTTGTGTTGCACATCATAGAAGACAATGTTAGCATCCGATCATTTTAACTGTTGGAGAAAACTGCTTAATTTTAAGCTTTTTTAAGCTATTTTCATCTTCCGGGTTTAAAATCTACATTTTAAAGCAGCCCAATTCCGCGGGAAAACTGCGGACTTGGCAACACTGGAAGAGGATAGTTTTCTGATAGCTCATCAAGAACCGGTACTTAAGAAACCCTGGTACCATAACGTTTTCATTTTTTTAGTACCGACTTGGTACCGAAATACCGGGTCTTTTGACAACACTACAATGGACTAATAGTACATCGATGATGCGTTGGTGTCTATTAAATTATTCATAAGACTGCTTGTTCTTATCCTATGAGAAGACGCTTCGCTTAATTATTCACAACAGCATGTGTTGATTTGCTATGACAGACATTTCAGAGTCTGTGAGATGACATCGCGTACAATAACTGAGAGAAACGTTCATGGATCGAAGAAGAGTGTTTGTTTTTGCTTTGTAATAAGAGTTCAGCACAAACGCGATTCATTCACTTGGTGAGCATAACCGTTTTTACAGCTCTGTGATACAACCCGTCAAAAGGCTTATATAAACGCCACAGAATAAGCCTTAAAAGTTCTGAGGTACAACAGCGTGTTCATATATATGTTTTTGATGCAGAGTGTAAATGGCTGTGCATTTGTGTTTTTAATTCGATGGGAGTGAAATGAAACTGTCAGAACACTAAGCTGTGTGTGTGTTGTCTGTCTCCCCTCTTCCCCCTCCTCCGCTCCGCTGCGCACCACGCCCACTTTTTTAGCATTTTTTAAAACTGTGATGAGAACTAACCAGTGCTGAAATGGGGGGTTTCATGACCCTTTAAGCAAGCTACTCTTTACATCACACTGTTGTGTGGAAGAAAGACCTACATGTGGTGGCACCCGGCTCCGACGGGTCTTCATCCCATGTCTGACTCCCTCTTCCTCTTCTTTGACAGGTTTGAAGAGGTATGGCGGATCTGCTGGTTTAGGAACAGGTGGCAGGCGCCGATGCTTGCTGAAGTGAGAGTGGCAACTAGAGCACAGCAAGACATTGTCTCTCCCTCCATGATGCCAGTCTTTGGAGTCTGAAAGACATTTGTGTGAGACATATTGAAAAAGAAGACACATACAAATTCAAAGTATATTCAGAAGTCAGAAGAGTTAAAAGGCTGACGGTTAACGTCAAAGTTAATTGATGTCTGCAACCTATTTTACTTCTGTAATTTAACGTATTCTACCGTTCAAAGTAGGGGTGGGCGATATGGCAAAAATATCATATCTTGATTTTTTCAGGAAAATCACGAATCACGATTTTATCACGGTTCTTTGTCATGTTGGTTTTACTATTTTGTAAGTTGTCTGAGCAGTACAACCATACTAATTAAAAACAAAGCCTTACAAGGTAACAAAATATAAAATAAAAAAGAATGGCAGATATTTAGGCCAAAGTGGGCGAAGATAAAAATCTTTGTCATTATTTTATCTTTGTTATTAAAAAATAAAAACAAAGATACACATTACAGACACACATAAAACAAACAGTGCTTTATTTTTCAGGGACAGGTGTATTTAGCAGTAGCACTCAAGAAACTGAATGAACAAATATAAAAATAAAACACTATATACACTTCACTGTATAAATTATACACTGATTCTTATTAAAGCAACTGTATTAAAGTTCTTCAGTCAAGAGCAGTGACTGATTTTTCTCTTTGTGTTTTGTTGTTTTATTAACATTAAAGGGATAGTTCACCCAAAAATGAAAATTCTGTTATCATTTACTCACTCTCAGGTTATTTTAAACCTGAGTTAGTTTCTTTCTTCTGTTGAACATAAAAGTTATTTCGAAGAATGTGGGTAACCAAACAGTTGCTGGTCCCCAGTGACTTCCATTGTATTTTTTTCCTACTATCAAAGTCAATGGGGACCAGCAACTGTTTGGTTCCCCATATTCTTCAAAATATCTTCTTTTGTGTTCAGCACAAGAAAGAAATTAATACACACATGAGAACATGAGTAAATAATGACAGAGTTTTAATTTTTGGATGAACTATCCCTTTAATGACAAGTGGCAACATGTTTAGTACTATTAGTCTGCTGTTACTTTAGGAAGACAAGACTTGATTATATCCATCAGGAATTGTTTGGATTCCAAACAAGCCCAGGAATGTACATTACGGAAATAAGGTCAATTTTGTATCTCAAGTTGACTTCAAGAGATGCAAACCTAAACAGGTTGAATCCAGTGTAGGGTGACTAACGAAGTGCTGCAGAAAGTCACTTTCAGAAGAGCATGATGGTTGATGGACACACGCATTTGGTCAACAAATTATAAAGTATAAACAGCTTTCTCAATATAGAGGCTATATACACCACTGGAGAAGGGTGAAAAACTTACTAGTGGTTAGACAGTGACTGCAGGCTTGACCTTTTCCGCCCTGCTCACTATCCTCACTGTCCAGATCATCTTCACTCGCTGAACTAAGTTCCACTACAGACAGGGAGACAGAAAATACAAAAAGTTTATTTACTTCTTGTGGAGTTACTTCCTTTAAATTATAGCTATATCAGACTTGCTATCATGTTTTGAGAGTCTGCAATAAATTAACAGACAAATGGTGCATAGTGCTGCACTTACTGGAAGAAGTGCGAGATGTTGCATTGGCTGCAGCTGTCGCGTTGCGAGTTTTCACTTTGCGAGACACTGGCTGCCTTCTCTGCTGCCGATGAGGTCGTGACGCCACGGCTTCAGGAGTTTTCTTCCAGTAGTAGTAGAATGTGATTAGCTCACCCTGAGATGACAAATGTGTTTTAAAAAACAAAAGACCCAATTTGACAGAAACTAACACACATTTAAGGGGGCAGTCGTGGCCTAAGGGTTAGAGATTCGGACTTGTAACCCGAAGGTCGTGGGTTCGGTAGAGATTGTAGGTGGGGGGAGTTAATGACCAGCACTCTCTTCCACCCTCAGTACCACGACTGAGGTGAGACCCTTGAGCAAGGTCCCAAACCCCCAACTGCTCCCTGGGCGCCGCAGAAAAAATGGCTGCCCACTGCTCCGGGTGTGTGTTCACGGTGTGTGTGTGTGTGTGTGTGTGTTCACTACTCACTGCTGTGTGTGTGTGCACTTAAATGCAGAGCACAAATTCCGATTATGGGACACCATACTTGGCCACGTCACGTCACTTTCACTTATAATTAGATTTCAATGGCAGGTTTCCATACCGTTTTCTTACTAGGCAGCAGCTCCTTACGGATCTTAAAGAAGTTTTTGCCATACTGTCTGAGACCTTTGATAAACCGTTTCTGTAAATGAACATGTTAACAGATTGAGAAATCTTAACTTTGACTTTTTGAAAAGTTCTAGTATCACACTTCTACATTCCACTATAAATTACCAGGCTGTATCAGTGAAAAATGTCAAGATAGAAGTGAAAAATACATTTAGAATCAGTTTCTCACCACTTCATCTTCTGACCAGCATTTCTCAATGAGTTTTGGAACAGGTTTCTTCACCAGACACTGCAGGGCTTTGGCTGCATCATATTGGCTTTCATGGAGCTGTGCACAAAACACAATAGAATTACATAACCTAGTTGCACAGCAAATAGTTATAGTTGAGGTAAAAAGTTTATATTGTCACTGCCTTCAATGCAATTACATCAAAGATCATAAATTACAATCGATATTCAATTATACTTACAATCATTTCTGGAAAATGCTACAACGAATTGAATTCATTTGAATTCAAAGGAATTAATTATCAAAATTTATTTTATGACAAAACATAGCACAGCCACAAAATGATAAGCACTGACTGTATTTAAAGCATTTAATGTGGTATCATCCCGTGAAGCTGCAAGGCAACCATCCTCTGTTGAACCTCCATCACACATCCCTGCAAACGCTGCCATGCTCCTGTTTATTCAGAGAACACAGTACAAAAATGCAGAAGTTTATGTTGAATCATACACCATCCACCTCAGATCCCTTTTTAGACATACCCTTAAAGCGATTATGAAGATAAATGTAAAACAGTGAATAGGAACTGGCATCCAGCCAAGCAACCATTACCTGGCAGCCCGTAGGTACATGAGAAGGTCACAGTCATTGACCCCAGGTGCCCACACCAGCTCCTCATTTTCTGTGACGAACTCTGTTCCATGAGCAGGTGTCAGCTGTAATTCAGGTAGCTTGGCCTGCATATGACAATATAATGAGGACAACAGAATTTATTTAAGGACCTTTAAAGGTACACTCAGTAAATATGTTTTGTTAAAGGGGTCATATGATGCTTTTTTAAAGATCATTGTTTTGAGACTTTAGTCTTTGCAACTTCAGGGATCTTATCTATGCACAATCAGCTTGTAGCACTCCAAAGAGAAAGGAAAACTTAAAATCGCATCATATGACCCCTTTAACATTTCAATTTGTCCCACTAATACCAGTGGTTGTGAACTTTCAGTGTAGCTGTTGCCACTTCACTTTTATCAATAAAACTTTTTTTAAATTATCAAAAATTACTGACAGCGTATTTAATGCACTGCATATCTACATGACTTTGTAATAATTTTACCTGATGACTTGGTCCCACTCTAATCTCTCCTTGTGTGCTGTTCAGCTGCCTGAAAGACAAAATATTATTTATTAGTTGAAATATGGCTGTGCAAGTGCATTAATCAATCAGTACATTAAAATTTCAAGACTGAAGCAATACGCACAGCTAATATTTCAAAGGTAAATACTAAAAAATTATGCCTGTAATAAACAATACATGAATACAAACATTTATATTTAACAGAAATATACTATAACAGAAATACATATAAATATACTATAAGTAGAAAAACTTAGTCCATATCACGTGAGCCGTTTCATGTCTCTGTTCCACCCTTTTAAATCGCCTCCTTTCAGTGTTAATCATAAAATGTGATTTGCCTATCAGCAGTCGTGATGATCAATCCAAATCCCGCCTACATTGCATATCCAGCCAATCAACGTCCGACTGCTCCGTTCCCTCCAAAGGTTATATAAACGGGGGCTTGGACGTCCACTTCATATATTTACACATAAATCATTACGTTGCTGCGTGCAGAATCAAACACAGTGCAAATCAAAATCAGTACATTGCACTTACAGTGTGATATGCACAAACGCCGTACGCTATCTAATCATTTAGCGCGAAAGAAAATATTATGCTAAAAACAATTTCCTGCACAAATATTTAATGCACAGAACAGACGAACAAAACTAATTTGCAATAGCAGCACCGCGTTCAACATGCATTACATACTTAGCAGTCAACAACAGTATCTGCATAACATCTGCCCCATTTTATCTCGTCAGGCTCCTAGCTGGCCTTTGCGTGTGTGGCCGAGCGAGACGAGCTGTCAGGTTCAAAATCATCTCGGTTCGCACTAGAATGCAAAAGTATTCACGATGTCGCAAAAAGCGCTGGCGCGCGCAAAAGCATACATCTGTGATAAAAAGAAGCAACAAACCTTCGCGGACTGAACAGGTCGTCCATGGCAGAGGCTGTTTCGCTAGTGTTTACAGTTTGTTTGCTGCTGCGGCGGCGGCTCAAAACTATGCTTTCCTCTATTTCATACTACTCAAAATGGAGGCTGCGCTGAGTATTTTTTCCTCAGCGCAGGCGATGACCTCAGTGCTCACGCACAGCCTACTGAGATCCCCTTCAACAAGCATAGCTGAGCATGTGCCGCTGCAGCCAGCGCTAATGGGATCATCTACGTGTCCGCTGTCTATGGAGAGCAGCTTCAGGGAGATGTGTTTGGCCATCCTCCCGTGTCAGTAATCACATACGAATATGGATGTCTCAATAAATTTAACCACCCAAGTCTTGATGGCATTCCTTTGCATCTTTGATAAAAGGGCACCACGCACGAACAATGAACAATAACAATCTCGTCTTGTTGTAGTCAGTGTGTGGGTTGTAGGATATAAATACAGCCGTGTCTGCTTAGATGGCTTCAAACATCTCTACAGCTTTACTGTGAATTCTCACTATTAACCACAACTTTTGCCTCCAACTCCTAATTTGCTGTGTATTAATATTAAATGTTAGTATCATACATGCTAATAAGCAACTAGTTAATAGTGAGAACTGGTCCCCAATCTGCAGTGTTAGTTTATACATTTATTTTCGAATTTAAAGGCGTTATTTTACCACTAGTTTTGTAATATACCCTTTTAAACAGCAAAAAAACAAAATAAAAAAAAATGCAGAAGTGATATGGAACTGTGATGCTGTCCTGATCTGGAATTACTTCACAGCCATGCAGTTATAGAAAACTAACTGTCAACCATTGTGGTATAAAAAAAAATGAACAGTTCATCAGAATCAAAAGATTTGTATTTCCGTCTGCACAAGCCATGCTCAAACCTGCCCAAAACAGACAAATGGGAGACTATTTAAATAACAATACAACACAAAGGCCTTTCATTAGTTGAGGAAATGTTTTTATTTTAATAGTATCCACTATCACAAGCAAAGACCTCAGGAATCTGCTATGCAGCACTTACAGGAAAATACTGTTTGCTTTTTTTTTTTGCAATACATTCATCATCACGCAAGCACATGTAATACTCATCCAAATGGACACCATCACAAAGTTTATGATGCTTTTTTCTGTATGCTTGATGATATGGTCCCTGTATCAACCCAATCTTTAGTCATAGCAGATACTGCTTTCTGTTGGTATTGCCACATCTTGAACTGAACTATTAGTACATTTACTGTAGGAGGGTAAGTAGTTCTAACTGTACTGTTGTGGTCTCAGTTCAGTGGATTTCTGAAGTTCTTCCCAGCAAACTGAGCTTTATCCCCCAGTTCTTCTTCTATTCTGTGCATGAAGAAAACAAGCAGGAATACAGAAAAAGTGAAACACATGCTTATTTATGCCTATATGTTTAGAACCAAAAATATTTATATTCTAATAGAATGATCTGTAAGCTTACCTGAGGATCTGGTTGTATTTGGCCAGACGCTCTGAACGACACGGGGCTCCTGTTTTAATCTGAATAAGAGCAGGAAAAATAAAGAGTCAAGTACCTCAACATGAGTAACCGTAAACTGAAATTCCTAATTTTTATGATTAATCTAAAGCACATCCGCTACCTGTCCAGTGCACAGTCCCACAACCAGGTCAGCAATGAACGTGTCCTCTGTTTCCCCGGAGCGATGACTCACCATCACACCCCAGCCATTGGACTGAGCCATCTTACACCTGCAGGGTGGGATATTACAAATAATTTTAATAATTTTATTAAACTATAAAGAATTTTTCACTGGGGTTATAAATTCCACACTGAAATTCTGGAAAATATATGGACAAAGTGTTATTCTTTATATATATATGTGGTATCAAGCATTTGGGCATCACTGTACCAATGTAGGATCAGGGTTTTGAACTCACGCCTGCAGAGATTCAGTAACACTTCCGATCTGGTTGACTTTGAGCAACAGGCAGTTGCAAGCCTTGTTCTCCACCGCGTTAGCAATGCGTTTGGGGTTGGTGACAGTAAGATCATCTCCCACCACCTGTATGTCCGTGCTGTTGGTAAAATTGGTCCAGGCCTCCCAATCATCTTGATCAAAGGGGTCCTCAATGGAGACCACTAGAGTAATGATAAAACTATTTCACATCTCTGCGTCTGTGCTCAAAGAAAAAATGAAGTAATGTAATTAAAAAAGAGAGCAAATGACTGATGGATACCTGGATAATCCTGAATGAAACTTTTGTAAAGGTCAGCAAGCTCATCGGGGCTGATGTACCGATTGGGGTCATCGGGAGACTTGAAGTCCAAGTCATACTTTCCGTCACGATAGAATTCAGATGCCGCCACATCCATGCCAATCACAATCTCATCTGTGTATCCAGCTTTACTGATGGCACTTTTTAACAGCTCTAGGGCTATTATAAGCAAACAGCAACACATAAAAGTTATAAGTCATTTCAGCTGTATAGTCTCAATCAGTGTGATTTGTTTTTTCAAATACCTTCTTGGTTCTCCAGGATGTTTGGTGCGAATCCTCCCTCATCCCCAACGTTGGTGGCATCCTGGCCATATTTCACCTTAATAACATTCTTCAGATTGTGGTACACCTCTGCACCAATGCGCATGGCTTCCTTAAAGCTACTGGCCCCCGACTGGCAGAATCATGAATTCCTGCATGGCCAACTTATTCCCAGCATGTGAGCCACCATTGATCACATTAAAAGCCTTTAGGAAAACAATAAGCAAAATTCAATAGGAGCATAACAATATTTTACCCCATAATTTGCTTTTCTACTTTTATAAAGATTAAAATAGCAAAAAAAAAGCAAACAGATAGAATGTCTGTAGGGCTTAGGCTACTTCTAAAATCTGAAATTATTTATGAGGACAAAGCTGGTCTGCACTTAAATACCCTCTTAAAATAAAATTGCATTATCTCTTTGAGCTCAATCTAATTAATGATCTATATAGCTATGAAACATTTTCAGTCACATGACACTTTTCCTTCTTGTACAATTTCAAATACAAGACTGTTATGTTTCTCACCGGCACAGGCAAGATGACCTCTGGGTTTCCAGCAAGGTCAGCAATGTGACGATACAGAGGAACACCTTTATCTGCAGCTCCTGCCTTACACACAGCCAGGGACACACCCAGGATGGCATTGGCACCAAATTTAGCTGATGTTCGAAACAGACACAGGAATTAAAGGACTATGACTAGACACAACACATAATATTCACACTACTTACAATTTGGGAAACAATCACTTTTGTGTTTGCATTTGCCTTTTTTTGTGAGAATGTTTTCAAATGTACTCTACTGTTCAAAAGTTTAGGGTGTATAATAATTATTTAAGTTTTTTAAAAGTTTTGTATGCCCACCAAGACTGCAATTATTTGATTAAAAATACTGTAAAAACAGTTATATGGTAAAATATAGAAAAAAATTTTTTTTTTTTATTTGAAACAGAAATCTTTTGTAACATTAAAAACACCTTTACAGTCACTTTTGATCAGTTTAATGCATCCTTGATGATTTAAAGTATTCATTTCTTTACAAAAACAAATCTTACTGGCCATCTAATCTAATCATCTAATCACTGGCTTACACTTTTGAACAGTAGTGTAATTTAACTGTTTGGGTAATTGGGTGTAAGAAACTTAAAAAAGGAGAACAACCGTTAAGGGGAAACTATTTTAACAACCGCTTTCCTATTGTTAAATGCGTAAACGTAAATATTATGATTTACACTTGTTATCAGTTCCGTCCAGTTCCAGCATGAACTGGTCAATCTTTTCTTGCTCAACTACAGGAATTCCCTATGTGACAGAGAGAAAGAGAGCAAGACAGACAAAAAATATAATTAACAACCCAACAAATTTACAGTGACTACACTGGTTTTCTTTTGTTTCAGTATAACATTCTAAAATACTCACCTGGCTGATCAGGGCAGGTGCAATAGTTTGGTTCACATGCTCGACAGCCTTTGATACACCTACATTACACAGAAAAAGATGGACGATATGAGCAATATTCTACAGGTATATGCACACGTTATTGTGGATTGAATGGTGCTGCAATTAGACACATGCATATCTCTACATTCCCTTGCTTGGTTTATGCCACAAAACGTTCGATTACAAATTAGAAAAAAAATGAAAATGTCAGCCAAGCAAAAGCCATAAACAATCTGATTTATTCCATGCAAACATTGTGCACTAAATAATATTGAAGTACCACAGTAAAGATTCTTGCATTATTCACTGATCTGAATCACATGCACAAGCATTTCAGATTTTACATAATTTTTTCATAATGCATAATTCACACCACAGAATTCGACACTGGGTTGACTAAGTCGTGCAAATTCAGATCCATCAAACCCCAAAAAAATAACGTTTTCTCACTAGTTCACTAGGGTACCCGTTAACACCAGGCTGAACCCAGTTATTAATCAGTACATTTAATAAGTCCTCTTTTCCAGTCTAATAGAAAAAAAAAACAGAGCTGGGAAAGCGAAACATTCCTGTGTTCAGTAAACAAATCTAGCTCAACAAGTCTTGGTTATTTCCAAAACAATTAACAATATATTCTGTAAAACCAGATGAAATGTGATTTCTAATGTCATTCTGAATTAATCGGAAACCTGAAAAAGCAGAGTTACCTTTGCCTATGTAACGTGACTTATCATTGTCTCTCAGCTCCAATGCTTCATAGATTCCAGTAGACGCTCCACTAGGGACAGCAGCTCGAAACAGACCTGTTTCAAAACCAGTAGATGAGTTTTAGTTCTGCTGGTAACGTCAGTAAACAAAACCATCTCATTTTAGTTTTCAATTTAGAAAGGAATGTCAAGGGGAATCACCTTTCTCTGTGTAGAGGTCCACCTCTACAGTGGGGTTGCCCCTAGAATCAAAAATCTCACGGGCATGTATCTTCAGGATAGACATGTTTCTTAAAAAATAATAAAAAAGATCAGATTAGAAGGTAAAGGGGTCAGCTTCTATTGCAATGTTTATCTCTACAAATCTAACCAAACATCTAAAGGAGATTTCAAGGAAACCTGAGAACACCATCTGCCGTACTGTAATACTACTGGCCCACAGGGTCACTTTGTCAAATCCTCTTTCCTGCTATTAGGCCTAATCATTATTGAAAGGAAACATCTGCATGAATAAATCCACATCTCTTTCAAGCAAATACATGGTTAATAGCTTTAAAATATGCACACAGTGTATTGAAGGTTGTGCTATCCCTTGGGGCATCATGAGAAGCTCTATGTCTAATTCGAT